CAGCAGCAGCGGCAGCTGCCGGACCGTGGCGCCGCGCCTCAAGGACATCGCCGCCGCTATCGTTGTCACCCGAACAGAGCTGATCCGCCACCTCGAGCGTATGCACAAGGAACGGACGTGTTGCCTGGCCGCAGCCGCGCGAGGTGGCATAAGCCGAGCCTCGCCCACAAAATATCCGTCCAGCTACCGGCTACAACCCGCCGGCGACCGGCAAATTCCTGACATTTGTCAGGGCTTTGTTTAAACTCCATGAAAGCAGTCCAAAGCGGGCCGTGGCGGCACGTTGTTGAATTTCGCTGAGATGGTTGCCCTTGACGCGTTGTGGACGCGGTACGCCGGTGATGGCTCGATGCAGCAGGGCGTGATATAGGCGGGCGGCGGTGGCTGCCCGAGCCGGAACTGGGCGAACAATAGCGCGGCGCGGCACGACTCGGAGCAGTAACTCACGCAGCGGAGATAAGAGCCGCCATCTCGGTCAGGTGACACGTCACCGCTGACCGGTATCCGAAAAACGCCCACCGTGACATTTAACCAAAGTTTTTTTGGTGGCTTTGATACCGTATGTTTAGTAACAATGAGTCGTTATAGAGGAAAGTAACGAAACATGAGCCTTCATCATTACATCTTTCTCATCACCAATGCTTGGTCAGCTCAGTGGTCTCAATCATGGAGTGGCCAGTCCAATTACCTTGGCTGCTACCGATCACAGTGATACAGTGATCACTGATCAGTTGTTGTTTTTATTGTGTGTTGTTGCCATCCTTTTCGTGCGCCCGGCCCGTTCTGTACCATCAGCCGTTATTGTGATTGCGGCCCCATATTGCCTATCAGCCACCTCCCCCACTCATACACTTACGCAAGCAGTGCGTGTGTTGGGCCATCTGTGTTTGGTGTGTGCCGCTGCCATGGGGAGCGGTCAAATCAACCCGGCTGGACTGTAATTTATCACACCCAGAACTGCGAATGCCGTGCTTATTGAGGTGGCTCGCCCCGTTGCCCAAGCGCAGGCGGTGTCGGTGAAAGGCCGCCCTCCCGCTGTGATCCGTACGGGATCCGTCGGGGTCTTCAGTGTGTGATTGCTGCTGATGACCGGGCTGCGAAATGACGACTGAAGAGTGCATTTGGGGAGTTGGGTGGCGTATAATGCTTCTCATGCCTCGTAGATCTGCGGAGTGCTAGTGCGTCATGTGCGGCAATTGGCCGAAAAGGCATCGAGTCCTTCAATGTAATTGATCTTACTGGCTGATAAACGTGATACGCTTATGCGCAGCGTGGGATGCGATTTCACGATTATTTGCTCCATCTAACCACAAATCAGTAGGAGTATTTCAGGTGAAATGCCAGCTCACAGAGCTATTAATTAAGCTTCTGCGATCAATTAGCAGAATGCCTTGTTATGGAAATTTACCTACCTTGTTTCCGTAAGACGATTGGTGATTGTTGTAGCTGTGGCAGCCGACCGCCGGGCAGCCGAACCTTGTAATATCAGAGTAAATGCCTGATAATTAAGCCTTTAAATCGTTGACGCATTACGGAAATACCACTTGGCTCGCGCGATGACGGTTTATAACCCTCTTCCCGTGAGGTTTGTTAGGTAGCGTCGACCGATGAGCGTGTCGCCGCCACTTTTCGGTTCGCTGTTCATGCATCTTTGTGCATGTTACCTGACACTTAACTCCGTTGCTGTGTAAGGTCGGGTCACTGGGTCGCTCATAACTTTACGTGAACCGTTGCCGGCACGTCACCCTTGACGGCACAGTGGGAGGGCAGGCACCGGTCGTCTCCGGTCGGCTGTGAGCTCTGCCCGGGCCGCCAGGGGTGGCGATGACCTATTCCTGGGCTGCAGCCGCTCACCCCAGTGCCGCATTCCTGAGCGAGCTGGCTCCCGCAGCGCAGAAGCTACCGCCGTGCTGCCCGCACCGCCACTCGCTCAGCCCTAGGCAGTTGAGCTGCTCCGGCTCCAAACACGCTGCTCGAGCTGACGACCCGCCAGTGGGGCTCGTTTGCCGTGTGCATTATGTGCAACATCCATCCATACTCTGTCACATATTTCCCAGTATTGCATTGTAGTGAGCAGGGCGGTGGGAGGCGCGCACGGGACAGTGAAAGGCACCTTGGGCGGCGTGCAGTGTGCGCTCGGGCGGCGGCAGACGGCACAGCCGGCGCGCGGCGGCGCGGATGACGCCGGCGCCGGATGACGGTGACGCCTGATGACGGCGGCGCCGGCTGTCTGCGGCGCGGCCTTCTCGCTGGCGCCGCTGCCAGCGCCAGCGCCGGATTAGTGCTGTCGTCCGCGGCCGTACGCGCCGGTACGAGCCGTGTCTTGGCACTGCGGCTCTCAGTGCTGAGTTATATACGAGTAGCTGGAGAAATGACGGTGACGGGATGGCGAAAACTGGCATCTGCTGAATGCCAATAGTGGCAGTCAGAATAAAACTGACATCCGCTCATTTTCTGAATGCCACTATTTTAATCATTAAGTTTTTCTTCGGGAACGTGGTTTCCGACTAATCCAACTGCACCTTCGTGTGCTCATTTAAGCTCACTCGCCACTGGCACAACGTAATGAACTTTGGACGCAAACTTACTCTGAATTCGGTGCGACCTATAACCTCAGTAAACAAAGAAGCAACAAACAAGCAAACAAACCTTGACCTGGCCATGATCCCGGTGTTCAATTGACACACGCAAATGAAATAAGCACACGAAGACTATAAAACATGCTAATGAGACTTTTTAAAATTGCTGCCTGTGATATGCCCTTTGTGATCTGACATCGGGGCAAAGTTTTTATGATTGGTCAAAAACTATACTTCTATAAAAATCGTCCCTAGTAGTCATGACAATGCTCATAACTTTGTGCAGTCATTGCTAATTAACAACTGGTAAGTCCATGAGCTGCACTGGCTTAAAGGGACCCTCCCACCTTCAAAAAAGTTAATGAATTGGCATGAAAGTGATGTCGCTCGGTTCAGAAAGGGCAAAAATGAATATCTACCAAATTTCATCGAAAAATATTCACCGGTTTTCAAGATATTAGACTTTTACTTTTGTTTACTTTTTGGGATCTCCGCTGTTCCTAGCGACTTTATTTGAAAGTGCGGCATTTGTTGCGCGCAAAGCAGCATATACCACCGCGTGCTGCCAAACGTTTTAGTAAAAGATTTAAAAATCGTTAGATCTCCGCTGACGTCACAAATTCTAAGGGGGCATACCAATGCATTAGCCCCTTAGAATCCGAAAACTGCAAGTTTGAAATTCCATATCTCCGAATTAAAGCATTTTTCGATGTTGTGAATGCCCAAACCGGTATTTTCAGGCCATGGCCACCAATTTGGCTATCTCAACTCAAAACTAATGTTAAGGTGGGAGGGTCCCTTTAAATGTGAATCGAAGCTATTAGTATAAAGTTGAGCGCAAGGCCCGTCTATTTTAATGGCCTTACTTTTGAACCGCACATTTTGCTGAGATGTCTGCCGCCGTTTGGTCGTTGTGAAGCATCTAGTGCTCACCCCCGGCTCGGCTGGGCGTATGATCGTAGTGTGGCATCTGAGGCCTGCTCCCAGCTCCGTTGGCCGTGTGGCCGGATCGCGCGGCATCTGACGCCCGCTCCCGGCTCGCTTGGGCGTGGTCGGCGCGCAGGGCGGGGCCGTCTGCGGACCATCGGAGGCCGCCTGGCGCCGTCCACGGCCGCCGGGGTCGGCTGCGTGCCGCCTCGGCGGTACTCGGGTAAAAACCGGCCCGGCGCCGGTCCGGGGCGACCCGTTCATCCGACCCCCAGCCCCCCGCCAGGCGGTGCTGCGGGGACACTGCCAGAGCTGTGGCTGAGCGGTGGCGACGCTAACGGGCTGCCTAAATTAGACGACTGTCGTGCATCAGAGCTGCTTTGTCAACCATCATCTCATTCGAGTAGTTGAGCGCCGATGAGCTCCGTAGTCAAGGCGTCGTAATACCCGAATCACCATCATCAGTGTGGATGGAAAACTACTGACTTATTTGCCTATGAATGCCAGTATTAATATTCATAAGAAATTAGTTGGATAGTTTGGCATCTGATTGGTATGATGTGTGTGGTATGTCTTCCTAATATCAAAGTAGGAATATCTAAGCAGGAAAAGTTTCTAGAAACGGGTTCAACATCCCGCAAACGCACTCATACCTATTGGCTGGACGTTACTTTTTTGTTTGACGAGAAGCCCGCGCTGTCAGGTGCGTGCCACGTGGTGTGCTTCAGATATATCTAAGTGATGCCAACAATGTTAGTTCCAGAACGGCTTTCCTGCTTATTCCTTGATTTCTTCTGTCATCGGATGCTCGACAGCTGACCCATTTTACCATGTCCCAGTTAGGCTGTACTGCACGACGCACGTGCGTACGTGTGAGGTCCGTTTCTGTCTCTTGGCAACTGTGAAACCAAGCTCGCTCAAAGTTGTACACCGTTAGAGACCAGTTAGATGGGTGGCTTCTACGAGTCGGCTGGTCTCTGGGCAGCCAAGCACGTGCCGCCGCGTTTCTCTTTATACCTGTAGGCATCGCGATAGAAAATTCCGCAGCTAGCTTCTGAAGACTTGTCTTTGGAACGTGCATCTCAATTAAACCCTAATCTAGCCAACGATGCTCGACAATCCACTTTCGCTCATTTTTGGTTAAGCTGGTGGCGGGGAGCCAACGGAGGTAACGCCAATGAAAAGAAGTGGGCCACGGACGTTTCATTGAATTCTGGGCATAACTTCCAGAGAACCCTAACTATGAATAAATTGTATCCCGCCAGAGCTTAGCCCGTGGGTAAATGAGTCTTTGTCTCTGTCTCGCTAGAGAACCAAGCCTGTGTGTAACTTTGTCTCCTATCTCTGGATAACCTAGCCGGGTGTAACTGTGTCTCTGTCTTTTCAGAGAAGCTGGTTTGTGTGTAACTGTGTCCCCTCAGCCTTTGTTTCACTATGTCTCTGTGTCTATCCAGAGCGTCTGACCTGTGTTTAACTGAATCTCTCTATCTCCAGAGAACCTGTCGCCAGAGGAGCTGAAGAAGCTGCGCTCCCAGCAGCGGAAGGCGCGCAAGAAGGAGCGTCAGGAGCAGGAGCGGAAGGCGCAGGAGCTGCTGAAGAAGCAGCAGCAGCAGCAGAACCAGCGGAAGGACGACCAGGAGGAGAGCAAACATGACGAGCTGCAGCCCGACAAACTGGTCCAGGTACGGGACTTTTTGCCAGGTGGGACGCGGAAGGGAATGGGAGAATGACGTAGTAAATTTTCGTTTCTGCTTTGTTATGAACGAAGGCTTTGGGGACAGCGTGTTATGAAATTGCACTTAAGTATAAGTGCGCATTACTGCGCATTCTTCCATGTTTGGAATGTTTTTCGTCATTTCCTAAAATCCGTACTATTCAGAGGTTCTTGTGTCTTGCTTCAGTGCTCCGTGCTATATCGATCATTATACTAGTTGTTAGATTATTTTCTGTTTCCGTGTACTCATTACGTTTCTGTAACCTTCAGACGCAACAGCCGCTGGAGGAGGCTGCGAAGCTGCTGCAGCCACTGCTGCAGCTGGCGCAGAACAACATCGAGACCCACCTCATGGCGTTCGAGATCTACTACCGGAAGGGTAAGGTGGCCTACACTCAGTTGCTAATGCTATCAGCTAAAGACGAACTGAAATTTCGACAGGCATCTTGCAAACCAGGGAAACGGTACCCAACCCTACGTACACCAACATCGAATGAGTCGCTTGAATTCCTTGCATGCCATCTGCTGTCCTCGTTTTCCAACTGACCCGCTTATTGACGTCCTCTCCGGCAGGCCGGATTCTTCTGATGCTGCGCGCCCTGAAGCGGGCGCTGGCGCTGGCACCGGACAGCGCTCGGCTGGCCGCTCAGCTGGTACGCTTCCGTCGGCTGCTCGACGAGCGGCAGGCGCAGCTCAGTGAGCCGGTGCGCGCCGTGCTGGCCGAGGCGGCGCCGGCCCTGTTCGGTGACCTGTCGGCCCAGCAGCTGGCGGACCGCACAGTGGCTCAGCAGCCTGACTCGCTGGAGCACGTCCTGCAGGGTGAGACGACGGAGCGGCTCGGGATGGGGGACTGAGCGGTGAGGAGGATGGGATCGAACGGTGTCCATAGCTCACGACAGGGCTCCATACACGCTCTTTGGGGGAATAATTATAAAAGTGTCGTCATTTAGGTGCATGGTGAGTGATGGGTTATTCAAAATATCTCAGTTTTCTCGAGTGGTATTTTCGAAGATGAAACTTCGCGTTCCTGGCATGCCCATTGTTACCATAAGATGGGATTAATCTGTACTGATCCAGGGTTTTACTCTGTGTTCTAGACGGTCACTCGCTCACTGAATATTGCATCAGCCACGTATCGGCTGTCTGACTGACTGTCAATGCCGACAGGTGCGCGGATGATGTTCTTCCTGGACAAGAGCCGCGACGCCGAGGCCGTGAAGCTGGTCTCCGACCTGGCTGCCTTCCCCAGCTGCACTTGGCAGGTGAGTGGTCCGAACCGCGGACGCTCGGGGTTTCATCGGGAGGATGTACCCGCGGACGCTCGGGGTTTCACCGAGAGGACCTACCCGCGGACGCTCCGGGTTTCACCGGGAGGCCGTGTCATACCTATTTTGATGTGGTTGATCAGATAGGGCCATTTACGGGAGAATGCATGAGTAGTTACAAACAGTTTGCGATGCTAAGCATAGAAGACAATCCGTGTGTTATACGATGTTTACTTGCTCATGTATCTCCGGTGGAAGATGGGCGTTCGCAATCGCTGCGCCCTTACACTGCCGTTTGATGACGGCTCATGGGGTCTCAGAATTGTCATTTCTTAGGTATATTTCATTGGATGCGCGTGACACCGTAAAGACTAAAGGGGTTACACCATCGAGTGTAATCATGTGGCCGGCGTAGCGTATTGCACGTTCGCAAACTGCGTATGTCTGAATTGGAGCTGCTTCAGGAAGCAAAGGAACCTCTTCCCCACCCTACATCGTCCCTCCCATTCCTCGTTCCAAGTCGGCACGAGTTGCCGTCATTGGCCGGAACCTTATCGATCCCAGGTAAGTTACCATTTTATGTTGGTCTCTATTTTTATTTTGTTGGCTGATTTGTGTGTCTCTGTCTCGCTGTGTTTATGCCGCCGTATTCAGCCGTCTCTGACGCTCTCTGCCCCTCTCCGCTGCAGACGTGCCGTGACGTGCTGACGGCGATGCTGGACGGCGAGCTGGGGCCGGCCGGCGAGGCGGCCGCCGCCGCCTTCCGCGCCGCCTGTGCCGTCCGCTTTCCGTACTGTGCCGTGCTGGGAGGAGCGCTGCCGCGCGCCGAGCCGACCGCAGAGAACAACGGCCCGCTGACGGCCAAACAGGCAGGCTCCGAGCACAAGTGACACGAACACACGGCCGACGGGCGCCTGGCGCCGGACCTGTAGTGGGCGTCTGGGCCGCGGCGCGGCGCCACCTGTCCGTCCGCGGCCCGACGGCGGCGTTCGGAAATTTTGTACAGTTTGTATCATACTATCGCTGGGTTTTGAAAGCTAGTCTATGACGTTGATTGGCAGCGGCGCAGGGCCTGTGATGTTCCGGTGGCAGATGTGCGCACGCGCGCCGCACTGCGGGCCGGCAAACAGCGCTGGCCACCATAATTTTACCTCTGCAATTGTCTGGATCATCGACTACCGATCGCCCTCCTCAGTTACTGCTCGTACCGGCCAGCTGGCAGACGGACTACGTCTGGCGAGTTCACTTTGTTTCTCTTGAGTGACCTTTGTAGCAATAATTATTTGAGTTGGCAGTTGCAGAATGTACTGGCACCAATCGCCTGTGGACATGGCCGGTCCTCAATTGAATACACTTTTATAAGCCACGCGGCGTGCTGTTGCTGATGGAACTTACGAAGCGCTTCGGGCCCCGCCAAGCTCGCCTTCAATACATTTAAAATTGTGCTGCTCTATGCCAGTTTCCTGCTTGCTATGCTTTCGCTGGAAGTAATTTCGCCAACAAGGGATTTAAAAACCCGCGACAAAATTCCGTTTTGTTGAACAGTTAGTAGGTTGTCCTGTGGTCATACTCCTAGCCTGGACCTTGTAGTGGTGTTGTTGACCTACAGAAAACCCGCAACGGTGATTTGCCCTAGGAATGGTCACTTTTGTACCATCGGTGAGTTGTGCGTGTTTTGTGATGAATCAGGTTAATACACAATGAACGAACGCTTCTGGGTCGGTTGCGATGCGTAAGGAGTGGTCGAAAGGTATGTCTGGTGGATAGAGGATGGTAAACGTTGTCATTGCCGTATAACTAACCATTTTTCAGGCTAGTGTTTCAACATAAGTAACCCATTCATTGCACGCTTGGCGAGGCTCAGATTTAAGACGCTAGTGACAGACAGAATAAGGCTCTCAACGGGCGTGAATCAGCTGTCAAAATTTATGGGAACCCGAAATACGGACGACCTACCTAAGCAACACACTTTATTATCAAACGTAGCACTCAGTAATAATTGTTTATTTGTTAAATCAAGCTGTACACCTATGTATATTTGATCAGAGTTCATTCGGAGAACAGGCACATGACTGAGATAAGGGATGCAAATGAAAGTACACATTGTTACTGATAGATGTCGTTATACGACAGAGGTCATACAGAAATACAGCGAAAACAATAATGTCATAAATGCTTGTCTCGGTACATCTGCATAGTTCATAGCAAGGAAACGGTTCACCTCTAGCTTGAAACAGGGATGAAATGCTGAATCAAAATAGTAGCCTATCATTCTCTTAGAGCTTGCTGCAAAATGTTCAATTTCATGTCTAAAAAGCCGTAGATCGCCGAAAGTAGTTAATTTATCTATTCAAATCTTAGACTTAATCGTGGTACTGAAAACTTCAGTTGTGATTGGGACGAATGGGATGGTAATATTTTATAGGCAGGTAAAGTACAGAAGCTTACTAACTTTGACATATTCATAACAAAATTAGAATCCACATAGTGTCAGATGCTTTAAATGCTAACAATAGTTATTGCCCGGATGGTGAACCATTCCCCGTGCAGTAGGTGTAAGTACGGAGAGCATCACTGACTGTCGCGCTGCGTCGCTGAGCGGCCCGCGGCGCTCTGACAGGACCGGCCGGTTTGGCACTGGGACCGGTGTGGTGCGGGCCGCCGCCCACTCCCTGGCTGCTGCACCCTCAGCAGGGGCCGCCGGTCCGACCGAGAGGGCTTCCAGCACCGCCGGCCATCGGTGTGTGACCGATCCCCCGGACCCGACCCTCCCCCACCTCACCCCACCCCTTCCCCCACCCCACGGAGCCCTCTCGGCTCGATATCAAATCACAACACAGGAACGGTGTGCTCAACCCACGAAACACCCCCAGGGCGGTCACCCCTTCACCGACCTTCCCATAACACCTTGATTGCAACGATTGATGCATATGCCCCACCTCACGCCATTCGCCTCACGCAGGCCGCAATGTGCGACTCGTAGGCGGCACACTTTTGGGTCGGCGGGCCACTACCTCGTGCTCAGACTGAAAGCGACGACAGCAGCAACACTGCAGACAGGTTTCCATTGACTGCCGGCCGACGAAGCGTACCCATATCACCCACCGGCTCATTGTCCGCGTCACAACATTGCCGCTCAGACTCCTGCACGTCCCGACTTTTATCACTCGTTAGAAGTCCATGAATATCTCCTCGATGGGGTAAGCCGCTTCAAGGTATTTTTGATAAAACCGCTGGAAAGCACGTCTGGAACACAAGAGACCGGATATTAGCGTCAAGTGGATCGCGGGGACATGTAACAATCAGCAGTCTGAAATGGTTAAACCGAGGTGCAATTCCAAGTCACTTCCGACCATCTGGAAACGCACCTAGTTATTGCCCGTCCCCACTTTTGAGAGAATCGATCAAGTCCAAGTCGAGTGTCCATGCCAGTGGCTAATTCTTACCCGACAGCCTCTGCCACGGGCCTGGTCGACTCTTCTGAGACGAAAACGTGACAGGCGAACTTCAGGTCCTGTGGGTGCTTGGTCACAAAGCCGAAATACTTCCGGTTTTGTGGGTGGAATCCGCAGAAAGACACATTCTTGATTTCATAAAAGTAGTCGTGACAAAGCACATGGTTGGGCTGAAACAGACAATTATTAATTTTTACATTATGCTTGACATGATACGGGCGGCATCGGTTATATCGTTCGAATATATCGTTATATCGTTTTCCGACAAATTAACGAAAGAATATGATGACATATGGTATGACCATTATAACACTTTCCGTGTCAAGTGGCTAATTCTTGTCAAGTGGCTAATTCACCAGTGAACGGATCCTCCGCCTGCGGCGAGGACGGCATCACCATGCACATGATTCGCCTGTCTTTTGATGTCATCGGAGGTGTGTTCCTCCATTTGCTCAATTCCAGCATCTCCAACGCCGACGTTCCTGATCCCTGGAAACATTCCCTCGTCCATCCCATCCACAAGTCCGGCGACCCCTCCGATCCTTCCAACTTCCGACCCATTTCCATCGTTCCCGTCTTTGCCAAAATTGTAGAGCGTGCCGTCCACCAGCAGCTCTTCAATTACCTCTCACAAAACCATCTCCTATCCCCAACTCAGCACGGATTTCGTCATCGTCACTCGACTGAAACCGCGCTGATATCCATCACCGACCAAATCCTATCATCCAACGACCACGGCGACCTCTCCCTTCTCTGCCTGCTGGACTTGAGCAAATGCTTTGATGTGATAGACCATCAAAAACTTCTCACTAAACTACAACTTCACGGAGTAGAAACGACATGGTTTTCGGCCTACCTTCAAAATCATACCCAGAGCGTCTGCTTCACAGACAATCTGGGTAACATCAAAAAGTCATCTCTTCCCAACAACATCGGCGTCTTCCAAGGTTCTGCTCTCGGCCCTCTGCTCTACTGCGTCTTCGCGAACGACTTATCCTTGTTCACCGGAGACGCAGTGGTAGCACAGTACGCCGATGACACACAAATTCTGGTCTCTGGCAAAAAATCTGACATGCAAAGCGTGGTCAGGAAGATGGAAGCAGTGCTGACTTCCATCGACCTTTGGTTCCAGGCCAACGGCCTCAAAGTTAACGCAGGAAAAACTCAGCTGATGTTGTTGGGAAGCTCTCAAAATCTGCGCAACGTTCCTGGCCTCTCTGTCAAATTCCGCGATCATGATTTACTCCCTGTCTCGGAAGTTAGAAATCTCGGTTTAACATTCGATAGCACGCTCAGCTGGACTAGTCACATTTCTTCTCTCACAAACCGCTGTTTCGGAACCCTTCATGGTCTATCACATCTAAGGAACCACCTCCCACCATCGGCTGTCACCGTCATCGTCCAAGCCCTCGTTCTCTCGCAGGTCCGATACTGCATCTCAGTATACGGCAACTGCACGCAGACAAACCTCTCTCGGCTCCAAAAAATAATTAACTATGCTGCAAAGGTGATTTTCGGCCGCAAAAAGTACGACCATGTATCGGACCTGCTGGATAACTTGGGCTGGCTCAGCGCTGAGCAGCTTGCTCAGTATCACTCTCTGTGCCTGCTGCACAAGGTGCGGCGATCAGGCGAGCCAGAAACCCTGGCTGCCCAGCTGGTGCAGGTATCGCAGACGCGGCAGCGCTCCACCAGACAGGACCGCAATCTGTCAGTCCCACGATCGCGGTCAGCGATGGGGCAGCGCCGGTTCTGCTGCCGGGCGCCCCTCGCCTACAACCAGCTCCCGTCAGAACTGACGCGTCTACCGGCCCACCTATTTGGTCGGCACCTCCAATCCCACCTACGGGGAGGCGAGGTGACTTAGACAGCGGCCATGAGTCTGTATGAGTGCATGTGTATGTTTGTTTGTGTGTACGGGCTTTGAGCGTATTTATCACGTTATTTTATGTTATGTCTCCCATGCAGAGTTTTAGCCCTGTACGAGCGGCCGTAATAGCCACGAGTGTATCGTGGATGGCTTCAATACACGTCTATGTCTATGTCTATGTCTATGTCTATGTCACTCGTCTGGGGCCTATAGAGGGGCTGTCCGATATAATATGCGGGGTCCTGGCACTTGCTGCACGTAAGACGCAACTAAATATGCCTTTGAATGTTCTGAACGGTGTCTCAAGAGCATAAGCATATTACTATAGCTCACATAACGTTTCCGTATGCACTCACCGCCGGCTTGCTCTTGTCGATCATGCGCACGCCCTGGTCGGAGATCTCCAGGATGCACGGGTAGGCGAAGGCGGCGTCAGCTGGGTCCGGCGCCGCGCGCACGTCTCCGATCACCTTCTGCACCGCCTGCGTGATCACCTCGATGCCCTTGTGTTTGCGCGCCTCCACTGAACCCAGGTAGCCGAGCAAGTAGCGCTCCTTTCGGACCGGCGGCGCCGACGGGTCAAAGTCGGCGTAGTCGACGTCTGTGACGTAGGCGGACGGGAACACGCCGCGCAGTCCCGTGCGCAGGTTCACGCCTGGAGAGCCGGCCAGGCGTTAGCGGGTCAGCACTCAGCACAGTAGTCCGAAACTATTGGCTAAACGCTGTTTGTCAGCAGTGCGTGGTCGCTAAACAAATATTTTGCGGGCAATCCTATTTTCCGCATTAAAAGTTCATGCGACATGGAAAATTATTTGCCTGTGAATACAATCATGACTGAATTAAAGAGGTGAGAAGCTACCTACAAACATCGTTGATACGTTTTCTGGGCCGAACTTTAAAACGGTTAATCACGGTACCAAAAGAAAGTGCCTTATGGAAGCGTGGCTGATAAAAAGCGAAGCCTATTTAGGTATAACATGTCCATTCACCAATGACAATATAACTATGTGTGTTATTGTGTAAGTCAACCATTACCTGTGCACCACAAGTCGTCGGCCTCTTTGATCAGATAGACCGGGTCACCGATGTCGATGGTGATCTCGTCGTGGTGTCTCGGCTCGAACTTGTAGAGACCTCGGTGCGTTGCCTCAAGAAGTTCCAGCTTTGTGCAGAGCGCCGCACTGGGCGATACTGGAGACATCGCTCCTATACAAGAGAAAATTAAGGAACTGTTTAAAAGGCGTTATGTTGTGGGATGAAGTATTTTTGATCACAATGGTAAATGCAAATGTTTCTATTTTCCGGCATATGATTGTCCGGCGAGCGTCTCACGTTGGCAGAGTGCCGGGGAAGGGGAAGGACACTGCGTTTAGACTTTAGAGACTTACCTGACGCGTTCCGCTGCCGCGCCCGGCAGCAGTTGTCGGGCGAGTGTGCCGTCGAGTTGCCAGAGTCGCCGTCGGTACACGTGTGCAGGACGTCTGAGTCGGGAGAGCTGTCCCCGTCTGGCGACGCAACAGAGAACAGCTCGGGGTCACGCACCAAATAGGTACGTTTACTCAGACTTATAACGGAGAACATGACGTGAAACCTAGAAAATACCCTCATCTGCTTGCCTATACTTTTCCGCGAGTTCATCTCAGCACTGATCTTGACCTTGTCGCATGCTGAGATGACCTTTGGCCACAGCATAACGAATTCGTTGAACGTATTGTCAGCTGATACAAACGCAACCCCGGGAGCATTGTTCACGAAATGACGTTATTCCCAGTGGCCAAGTCGCTATTTGATATTTTTATATAAAGGTTTCCTGGAGCGTGACGGGTGTTCTTATACAGAGTTACCCGTACCACTATCCGTAATGTGCCCTTCCAATCAGAAAATAAGACTGTGCCCCCGTCTGCAAAACTTTTAATTTACTCATGACGCAGATTGGTTGCATAATTCATACACCCTGGCGGCCAGAAAAGTTTCCCGGCGAGATCGGCTCTCTTACCTTTGGACAGGTGTGAGCACTTCATGACGTAGACGGGCTGAGCGGGACGACCATCGTCGCCCGCTTCCAGTATACCCAGCTCCGAGGCCAGACTCAGATGTGAGACCAGTCGCAGGTGACGGGACAGGGCTGGCAGCAGAAGACGACATTTGGTAGGCGGGCTTGGGAAGACGATATTAGCCCGAGGGCTCAAACAGATAAGCTGGATAGACGGAACTAGACAGACGAGCTCAGACAACCGGAATTCAAGTCTCAACGGTTCAGACCGGTCGAAATCAGGGCGGTGTTTCAACGGCACGCTGCTAGCCGCTGCCAGCACACGTGGCAATCCGGGTTTCCATGGAGACATAAACAAGCCCATTGCTCAACACTACCATAAGTGTGACGTCAGCTCGCGATATGCGCTGGCAGCGGCTGGCAGCGTGCCTTGAAAGTTGAAACAGGGCCCTGACAGACAAACTCAGACAGATGGACTGATAGATGGGTCAGGCAGATAAACACAGACGGGCTCAGACAAAGGGGATTGGAAAGACGGGCTTCGACAGATAGTTCAGACAGGCGGCTCAATAGACGGGCTGCGACAGACGTTCTCAGTTATAATGAAAGTCATACTCAAAACCATCAGTTTATATTTTTGTCGATGCTTCTGCTATAATCTGTTATCATAAAACATGTGGTCACCATTCACAGTCATATTTCGCTTTGTCAGTCAGTCCTTGCCCCGGGGCCGACCGGCCGGCTGCCTACCGCTGGCGAATTGCGACCCTGGGCAGTAGACTGACCCGCAGGGCTATTACCCGGCGGCGCGGCGGCAGCAGCGGGCGGGCCGCCTCGTTGGCTCGGCTCAGGGGCCCGACGGGCGACGCAAGCTCATTCCAGCCACACGTGACATTTACGCCCCCAAGCCTTCGTGATTTATTTTTCATAATTATGCTTCAAGAAATCATAACCAATTCGACAAATAAATACCTATAAGCAGCTTTTGAATATAAGTTGGTCAATCATATAAACGTTATTGAGAAACCCCAGACCCTACAGATCTTAATTTTCGGAAAACTCCAGCTGCCTTCACGTGGCTGTAGGTACAGAACTACTGCGATGTGCATTAAAAATGTAAGTTTGAAGGACGTGAAGCTGGTGGGTCAAAAGTCAGTTCATTTGCGGGGGCCATCGACATGTTTCTCGCACACTATTTTTGAATAACGTTCTCGGCTTTCGAGTGTGAGTAAGAAGTAAGAACGACTTTTGTCGAATCCAGAGAGAGCTAAAAGCCACGTCCGCGTGGCATTTGTTATTTATGCCTTCCATGAAGCTTGTGTGATCTCAACAGAACGGCTTCCTACTATAGCCGAAATAAATATAGTAAATAAAGTTATGCTGCTAATCGCCAGAGTACATACCTATGTAAATATATTTATTGTGAACATACTTTACCGGTGTGAAAAGACTAAAACTCAAGGCTTTGGTTCAGCTGTTCAGATTATCGTTCACGGTTCGGCTCAGCCCAGTTTGATCCAGATAGACGATACGCCTAGCTAGACAAGCATAGCGTAGGAATAACATTAGACATAGCTTAAATGACATCTGACACAACTGATCGACCGCCTGAGACCAACCAAATCAGCCATGCCAACTTAGAAGTGTGTTTAAGTTTTTTAAACACATCAAGGTCTCTCATACTCAAAACGGAAAATTAACCCTCGCATGTGTAGGGGTGGGGGGGGGGGTCGGATGGACCCCCCATGGTTTTTCGCAAATAACTCGCGTAAAAAGCGGTCGATCGCGACGAAACTTTCAGTACCCTCGCATTGATCAATTTTACACCTACCCTAAAAATTTCATGACCCTGACCCAAATGACCTTTGACCTGTGACCTCTTTTCCGAGACCATGTTTGGCCGGAATCGCGATTCGGCGTACGTCGGCTCGCATTAGCCGCGCGTTTGCAAGCTTTTCGTGATTTCAAACGTTCAAACATGTGATTTGATGTTGCTCCCATGCATTAGGGTGGGTGTCAAGGTCACCTGAAGGTCAGGTCAGGTCATTGACCTTTGGTGACCTCGGGTGACCTCGGTTCACTTTTTTCGAGTTTTACATGTTTCTAGGCTAGTTTTTGGAGCTGAATTCGAATTTAGCAACCATTTGAATATTTACGAAGTAGTTTTGGTGCCTTCGTAACATGTTACGAAGCTGTCAGAGGCGGTTGACACGTACTACGAATACCCGTCACGACGCCTACTGGTTGACCTGACCTGACCTGACCCGACCTGGTCTAAATGCTTAAAGACATCATCTGTGATCAAAACTAACACGATATTCGTGATCAGCACCCCGAAAAACCTCTTAGCAGCCACTCTTTACGACTTTCTAATAGGTCCCGCGATTTCCCGACTTTGGGTCATTGACCTGACCTGGAAGGTCAACCAATGACCTAGGACCTTAAAATTGGGTATCATCGGCTTCCTCTCGTCACGGGCAACACGCTCGTTTTTTCCGCGAAGCTCTAGCTCGATCAGGGCCAAACGGCAAGGGGGGGGGGGGGTCCAACCGACCCCCCCCCCCCCCCCCACACACACACACATTAGAAGCTGGAAAACGCCGCACACATGCGAGGGTTAAGCGACTACGGCGACTAACTATGACTCCGTGCGGCATTATACGAAATATCGAATCCCGACCCAATACACCGAACACACCAAACAATAAACAACACTGACCTCACCATACGCCAACGATCCCCCGGAAAATGACCACTACCAAGCATCCCGGTTGGAGCCAGCGCCCACCGAGCGGATCGATGGCGGCCCCAGCGGACCTCATAACGCACTTACGTCTTTTACTTTTGGGAATCTCGGGGAGTCTCCGTCGCCTCTGCGGCTGCCGGTGTTGGTCGGTGTCGGCCGGCTCGTGGGCGGGCGCCCAGCCGGAGGGCTCCCAGCGGCCCGAGTGCAGGGCTCGCGTCTCCTCGGAGGTCTCCTCGCCGGCCGAGTCGCCCTCGCTGGAGCTCTCCGGCGCGGTCGGCCCACCGGGCGCCACGTCGTGCACCAGTCTGAGGTGGAGGGTGCGGCGCAGCAGCACGCCTTGGTCAGAACACACAGCAGCGGGGTGGCGGCCAACACTGGGTCGGAGTCGTATGGTAACGGAATGGGTCAGCTTCAATAGTCAGCACGGAAGTAGTTAACGACGTTCGCTTGCAGTTATAATTTGAAGTTATGCTTTGAATTATTCAGAGCCCAAATGCTTAATGCATCCAACTTAAATAAAGAGTCCAAGAGAACACGGACTTTTGGCGTTTTTCCTTTCGCAGCTGTTGACCTGTCCGCCAGTTGCTATAGAACCCAACGATTGTTATCTAACAACGATTCATAGCCCCAGTTTCCACTGTTATGGATGCGACTCTCACCTGTACGACTGTTCCGGAGCCTTGATGTGCTGCGGCAGACGGTCGAAATGGCGGCGAAACTCCTCGAACTCGAGGTCGGCCATGATGGTGCCGGCGGAGTGCCGCGGCCCTGCACGCCGTCCGCTGGCGGACCAATCGATGGTGCGCTGGGGCGGACGGCTCGGGTCGTCTGTGACGTCACCGCCGGCCCGTCGGCGCCGGCGCAGCTGGAGGGGCGCGGCGGTGGAGGTTGGGCCGAATTCCGGGAGGATGGGCTGCGGTCACGTCGGTTAACGCGAATATTTTTGTACTTGTTTTTAATGAAATGATGGTGGGTGGTGGATAGTTCGGTAATATACATATAGTTTACTGATGACAGGAACTTATCCTATGGCTGGCACATGCTGTTGACCGACTAGCGAACTCTGTATATCAGTAGTCATTTAAACACCTGCCGAAGTGGCGTGCCTTTTGTGCCTTTTGTTCTCTTCCGTCCTATTGCATGGTTTATCCACCAGCCACCGAGTGCCTTTTATTTTACCAATCTGTAAAAGGTAAGTTAGAGAATGCAAATATCTACAGACGCTTCAACCCTCGCCGGTCTTCGGTTTACCTATCCTATCGGTTTTCGGTTATCCTATCCTAACCATCGGTTTTCTACATGCGCGCCGGCCGAGGGGGGAAGGCAGGTGCGACCCCCCTCACCGTTTCGTCCATGATGGAGCTAGAGCGTCGCGGAAAAACGAGCTTGTGTGCCGTTACGAGAAGCAGCGATTGGTACCAGCATTTAAGGTCTCAGTTCAACCGGTGACCTCTGAGTTCAGGTCCTATGGCCCAAGATACGGGCTCGGTTTTTGGCAAACAGCTTTGCAAAAAAAAAAAAACGGCCGCAGAGCCGCGATTTTGGCATCATCATGTTTGCCTCACTCAGGCGCGCCGAAAGATATACTTTTGGTTTGGGTAAGGTCAACTTGACGTGTTGACCTCGGATCACGGTCAGGTCAGAGCCCCCCAGGTCACGAACTTGGTCAAAGGAGGTCATGTTGCATATCATTTGATTCGGCAGGTCTTCTTGAGCCCATTGTTGGCTTTCTTGACTCGCTAGCTCAATTTGATCAGGAGTTATTGACGAAAAACTTTTATGACCCAAGTGACGCCATTGACGTCATGCAATGTCAACAATGCAAAAGTGAGGCATTCAAACTTGCAAAGAGTGCATGAAATCACGATTCTGTGTGGTTGATATAGTTTGAGATCGTTCCAGGCTCCAAAATAGCAGTTTTCATTTCTCCCCATTTACTTACGTACACTATAATGGTGAGGTCACGTGACCGACCCGACCTCATGTGACCTTTAGGAAAAATCCGAGATATACAAGTTGTGAGACCTCTGAAGGATACTAGGTTTTGTAAGTTTCATCTGCCTGTGAAAGCTCCTCTGGCACTGAGGGCGTTGCGAAGTTGCGACATCTGAAGACCGTGCAGAGGTTTACTTATGACGTCGTAGGTCAGTGACCTGACCTGACCCGAGAATTCGGTTGATTTTAAAAGATCTGGCTTGAATCAAAGGTCAGGTATGCCAAATTTTAGCTTTCTATCGCCAGCATGTTGGGAACTATCGCGAAAAACCCTATGGGGGGGGGGGGACACCCGCCCTCCCCCCTCGGCCGGCGCGGGTTAACGTTTCATCAGACTCGCGTGGTTTGCAGGGCCATTGGTAACGGTTGTATCATTATATGGTAACGGTTTTAACGGCTATATGCTTCTATAGAAAAGTCCACCCATAGCAGGGTTAGCCTCGCCCGGTTGGTGCAAAAACCTTAGACGCTTTTCTCGATTGTTCAAAATATATTAGGCAGGTACCTACTGAGCGTACCTAACCTATGATGAAAGTCAATCTTTGTAATTTTAAGCGCATTTTGAAGTCAGGTCGGTGACTATAACGTCATAAATGAACATTTACACATTGCAAAAATGTCATCATTCGCAACTGTCTCAGCACCGGAGGAGGAAGCTTACCGACTACCGAGGAAACTGCAACTCACAGGTAGATTTATCCTCACACCTCTTATACCTACTTTGGATTTTGTATACGTATCACCTGAATCCAGGGCTGGTCACTTGACTTCACCAATGCCATTATGTTTCCCAATCAATTGGGTAACAATGGAAGCTGCTTGAATTGAATTGAGCGTCAAAAATAATCCAAGACGTTTTAATTCTCAAAGACATTCGATCGTCTTTATTATATCCATCTTGCAAAGCTTAATGTTAGCATTTCATCTTGATCCTTATATGACAGCAATTAGGTAGGTATAGGTAGCTTCTTGGGTCTTGGGAGCATCATATTTTTTTTCGTCAACAATACCCGACTAAATTGACTTAGCGAGCCGGGAAAGATAACAACGAGCGCATAATGGGCTGCAGAATCAGCTAATTTGTTACATGACTTCCCTCCATAAACTTTAGACACTGAGTAGCTTTGAAAGCAAACCGATAAGCCTGGTCAAAGCTACTTTACTTATTGGGGATTAGACTGGCGTCGCAGTCGAATGGTAGCCGAAAGAATTGGCTTCGTATGAGTCATTGGCTTCGTATTTGTTCCATTAGCTCGACGCAGGACGGCGTGGATCAAGCTTAACCAAGCTTAACTTCACTCCTTGCGTGGCTGGTCAGCGTCTTCGCCGTCTTCGCACAATGCGCGGATTTTGTTGCTTCGAGAAGTGTTGCGGTACAGTATGCTTTCAGGCGTTTACTACTATCGCCATCTATGGAGTAAGATCAAGACTTTCAGTATCTGACGTTGACGTTGACTTGCGGAGTATCTTTGGACTGATTTAACCAAATTTTAACTAAGTTCAGGGAAACCAATCTCGGCAAAATATGAAATAATAACTACCGAATAACTTCATATATAACGATGACAAATTTGTCGAAAAGTAAAGGGCCTTTTCGCAGAATCGGTTCGCAGCGAAATTAGTCTGCTTTTTAGTCCCTTCCTCATGCTAGTAGGCCAAACTTGTGCACTTGAGACAGAAACGGCGCGCACCTGGCGGTTCGGCAAGTTGGGTGGTTGTGATTTTAGTGATTTTTATTTGTTATTTTCTTGTGCTATCGTGAGCTTTCTCCTTTAAAAATTAAAAAGCAGAAGTTTTTCTTACCTATGTTGCGCGTAAAACAACTGGAATGCGTCAAGCACTAGGCCTAACCAAGGCTATAAATACGAGGGCCTAACATCATGACATGGTCATGACATGGTCTGTTCATGACATGTCATGAACAGTTGCGATAAACACTTTGACTTTGACTTGCGCTGGTGTCTGGTGATGGTGTTTCGCACGATTCCGTATGTAGCATTCCACACTGTGCTGATGCTAAGGACAAATTAACCCGGTTTACATAGTATATTTGACGAGGCTCTACCACTAGCTCGTTAATTTGGCGATAATTTCGTTGCAGTGGTCTTCAAATATTTAGAGGGGATCATTTTGTAAATTGTTAAGCACCATTGGCATCTTTTGCAACATCATGGACGGAGATATAAGCTTGCAACAAACCCTATGTAAACGCGTCTATTGAAAATGTCATTATCTCCCAAAGTTTTCGTGGAGGAGAGACATGTTTTCATTAAAGATATTTCAACATTTGGATAAAGCCAGATGCTTTCAATTTTAGTTTTTACGGAGGCCAGTTTCGATAGGCCATACTATTTTCTGGACGATTTGCCAGCTGGCGCTGTATGGTGGTGCTAGCAGAGCTTGTTATACATCAATGCCAAATACAAATAACTAAATATCATTTTTAATTTTTTCTATTAGTACCATTTTATGTGCTCATGTTTATCTTCTACCCCGTTTATATCAATGAATAACATAGCTATTGTACATCGCCAGCTGGCCAGCCAGCTGATTTTATCCAGTTGTTAGTAAGGCCTGTTTCAACAGCCAATAATTTGAGCTGCCAGTGTTTTTGTTTATAAATCTCACGAGTCACAAGTCAAACCAGACACATGAAAAATAGCCGCTGATGCAAAAACATCAATCAGGCTGGCTGATATTTTCATTGATATTTTCACTTTAGTGATTATATTCGGTTGGCAAAGGTGGTGGCAAGTTATGGGAAAGGATAACCACAGGTGGTGATCTTTTATGTTGTTACAACTGGCCTCCGATCTCTTAAGTGTATTGGTTCCTGCTATTCCAAGTTTGTGTATGGTTACAACACTGTTGAAGTGAAAAAGAAAATATAATGAGGTATTTAATTATGACAAGGTAATGAGTATTTAAAAAAAAACAATGCCATTCAGAATTGCCTACAGCTTATGGTAGTAACTTTTAGGGGCCTTACTAACAACTGGATAAAATCAGCTGGCCGGCCGGTTTATTAATTCCCGCCCGTATTGGTGTTTTTCCAGCCGCGAACGTATAGGGGGGGGCGGGTCCGTTAGACCCCCCTTGCCGTTTCGCCCCTGATTGAGCTAGAGCTTCACAGAAAAAAAACGAGCGTGCTGCGCATGACGAGAGGAAGCCGATGATACCCAATTTTAGGGTCCTAGGTCATTGGTTAACCTTCCAGGTCAGGTCAATGACCCAAAAGTCGGGAAAATCGGGACCTGTTAGAACGTCGTAAAGTGTGGCTGCTATGGAGTTTTTCGGGGTGCTGATCACGAATATCATGTCAGTTTTGATCACAGCTGATTTCTTCATGCATTTAGGCCAGGTCGGGTCAGGTCAGGTCAACCGGTAGGGGTCTTGCTGGGTACTCGTAGTACGTGGCAACCGCCTCTGACAGCTTCGTAACATGTTACGATGGCACCGAAACTACTTCGTAAGTGTTCATATGGTTGCTAAATTCGAATTAAGCTCCAAAAACTGGCCTAAAAACATGTAAAACTCGAAAAAGTGAACCGAGCTCATCAAAGGTCAATGACCTGACCTGACCTTCAGGTGACCTTTACACCCACCCCAATGCATGGGACCAACATCGTTTCACATGTTTGAACGCTTGAAGCTACGAAAAGACCGCAAACGCGCGGCTAATGCGAGCCGACATACGCCGAATCGCGATTCCGGCCAAACATGGTCTCGAAAAGTAGGTCAAAGGTCATTTCGGTCAGGGTCATGAAATTTTCAGGTTAGGTGGAAAAATGATCAACTCGAGGGTACTGAGAGTTTCGTCGCGATTGGCCGCTTCTTACGCGACTTTTTCGCGAAAAACCGAGGGGGGGGGGGTCCGTTCGACCCCCTCCCCCCTATAGTGCGAGGGTTAATATAAACACAGTAGTATGTAGATGGACATGAACACGTAAAATGGCACTCAGAAAATGACAGAGAAGTTAATGGATAGACATTCGGTCGTTTGGCTACCTGTCCAGGTACCAACTCGACCTCTTTTCTTATGAATGTTGGCCAGTCAAATGTGAACTCTCTTGTCAGAAAGCTTCCAGTTGTGAGCGAGTTTGTGTCTCAACATAAGCTGCATATTTTCGCTGTCACTGAATCCCATCTCCTAAGCTCAATGAACGACTCGTTTATTGACATCCCTAGCTATAGTGTAGTCCGAAATGACACCCGAGGCTCATTCTCAAAGCATGGTGTGTGCATGTACATACATAACAGTGTGAAATTTGATGATGTCTCCAAACAATATCCAAACGTGCTGACTCTGCGTCTTCCCCAGCTTGGTATCCATGTTGCTGTTGTCTACCGTCCTCCATCATCGTCACTACAAGATACTCAACTCTTATTAGACTTTCTTATTACATTCTGCGAGGACAAGGAGGTTCTGCTTCTGGGGGACTTTAACATGCCCTCACTTCTATGGAGTAACCCGGACCCAACCCTGCATGCTTCTGTGCCGGACAGGCTCGGATATGAAGTCTTTGTGTCCCTAGGCCTGACCCAGTGGGTACTTGAGCCTACGTTCCCGCGTTCAGGCAACATACTTGACCTTGTCCTCTCCACAGATGACGACAGAGTTGGAGCCATACGGGTCTGTCCCCCGCTCCCTGGGTGTGATCACTGCCCCGTTCTGTGTAACTATGTGTTTGATTTCAGCACTGACTTCCCCCAGTCTGAGACAAGCCAGTGTCGCTTGTGGCATAGGTAGAGGCAAGTATGCTCAGATCTTACATGCCCTCAATGGCATAGACTGGGACCATGAACTTGGATACCGGGATCTAGACAGTGCCTACAATCACTTTGTTTATATACTGAAGCTGTTAATCGATGACCATGTGCCTCTTGCTCCCCCCTCCCGATCCTCGTTAAAGCTACCCTGGAAAACCAACCCTCCCCGTAGCTTGAGGAACCGAAGGAGGGAAGCTTGGGATAAGGTATTATCCACTCGTTACTCATCTGGTAGGAATAGTCCGGCAGCAAAGCTAGCCTTGAGAGACTTCTTTACAATTAACAGTGCTCTCAAATCATTCGCCATTGATTCTCAATCCAGGTACGAGCAGGACCTAATCAACGACCTCAAAACAGCCCCTAAACGGTTTCATGCTTACCTGAGGCGTAAAAAAGTTGGTTGTCCTAGTGTTGGACCCCTCCGCCTTGACGATGGCAGTCTTTCAGACGATCCTGGTGTATTGGCAGAAGTATTCGCCACTGCATTTGCCAGTGTTTTCTCTACTAACCAAGTAATCTATCACTCTAACCCTCCAACAGCTCACCAGACAGCGTCGAGCCAAATGGCAACCATGGACATCTACCCACAGGATGTGCTATCTGTGCTACAGGCCTTGGACATCAACTCAGCAGCAGGCTCAGACGATCTTCACCCCATGCTTCTCAGGAACTGTGCCACTGGGCTTGCCTACCCACTCTACCTGCTATTCCAAAGGTCCCTCGGAGAAGGCAAACTCCCAACTCTGTGGAAGTCATCGAGAGTTGTCCCGATTTATAAGAAAGGTTCAAGGTACGACGCACTCAACTACAGACCGATCAGCCTCACTTCTGTGACGTGTAAATGCTTAGAGAGAATCATTGTTCGTCATCTCTCAGCTTACCTGGAAGACAACGGCATCCTGACTGACCACCAGTTCGGATTTCGAGCAGGCAGGTCTACCATGGATCAACTGCTCCTGGTGTACAATGAGGTGTCTCTGCATGTAGACAGTGGAAGTGTCGTTGATGTCGTGATGTTCGACTTCGCCAAAGCGTTTGATGTCGTTTCTCACCAAATCCTCCTAACAAAACTTCGTCTCCTTGGTATCCAGGACAGCCTGGTCCGATGGATCGAGGACTTCCTAGTTGACCGACAAATGGCCGTACAGGTGAAGACAAAGCTGAGCAGCCCTCACCGTGTCACCAGTGGTGTCCCCCAGGGCTCTGTTCTGGGACCCATCCTATTTCTGATATTTGTAAACCACGTTGCTAGCAACCTGTCATGCCGTTACAAGGTTTTCGCAGATGACCTGAAGATGTACATGAAAATTCGTCATATCCCGCATGCCAGCTATGACCTCGATTCACAGATGTGCCAGCGTGACATTGATATGCTGCAGAGCACTGCTGAGTCTTGGTGCCTTTCTCTGAATGTTAAAAAGTGTGTTGTCCTTCGTTTTCACAGGAAATTCCACGCTCTCCCCCCTCCATGTTATCGCATCTCCAATGCCCCAATCCAGGTTGTCCACTCCCACACCGACCTTGGCGTTGTAGTTGATTCAGACTTGAAGTTTCACAATCATATTACAGCAACGGTCTCAAAAGCCGCGGGTCTAACTCAGAACCTGCTTAAATCTACTGTTTGCAGGTCCCCGGACTTTATGATGACACTCTTCAGCACGCACGTAAGGCCTTTGATCGAGTACTGTTCTTGCGTGTGGCACACCGGTTACGTGGGTGACTTAAGGCTCCTCGAGTCAGTCCAGCGGCGTTGGACGAAGCGCGTCCATGGTCTCGGCAACCTATACTACTACTCTCGACTTAAGGCCCTGAACCAATTTTCGGCCAAGGGCAGGCTCCTCCGAGCTGACATGATACAATGCTGGAAACTCTTCCATGATAAATGCTCAATCAAACCATCGGATATATTCGTGCTCTCGCCATCCTCTGGAACCCGAGGCCACCGCTTTAAGTTGCCACACGTCCGTCCCCAAACAGATTTACGTGCCAGATCATTTAGTGTCCGCTGTATCACTCCATGGAACTCTCTACCGGACGAAGTAGTGTCTGAACCAGATTTAACCAGGTTCAAATCCATGTTATCTGCGACACTGGGTGATACCCTGTTTGTATACTAGTCTCTAGTGCATATCTAAATGATTTGTGTCCCATGACCGTTAACTGTGTTCCGATTATAATTTTGCTGTTTGTATCTTGTCACTCTTGTAAACTCATTCATTTGGCACTTGTGGGCTCACTTTCCCGTTTGGATGTGTTCTCATCCATCGGGCGAGCTCTTTCTATGCGGGTTCCTTCCCTTCTCCCCATCCCTGCATTCATTTTGGCTACTCTCAGACCAAGGGAACCCCAAACAGGTGAGTTGAACAGGTGAGTTTATATCTAGCATTGATATATATAATCAGCTCTGCTAGCGCCACCATATGGCGCCAGCTGGCAAATAATCCAGAAAATAGTACGGCCCACTTTGAGCTAAGTAACCTTGAACCTGCCTGACCATTTACCTTTTTGCCATCTTATATGATGTCTTGATGTGAAAATGAGAACATGATATCACTAAGTCAATAACTTTACATGTAATTCATTTCAGGTTTACTATAAGGGTCCAACATGTTTAAAAAGTAAGTATGCTAAGACCTTGACAGCCTTGTTCTCATAGCGATGCTTTAAGCTGTGCAGATAAGCCACAACCAGGGTGGTTTATCTCTATGCTACCTATTCAATTATAAGTTTGCATGTTGAACTGCATCAATAACTTTTCCTGCATTTATATACTATTGATGCACCAGCTCCACATTAAATGATTTTTTTATATACAGATTTTGCCTAGATCTAGTCATAGTTGACATTCTTTCTTGTCATAGTAATGCTAGATTGTGATGCCTTTGAGGTTTATGTATTGGTTTGCTCCTTGATGTGAAGTAGAGATCAGGAGATGGTAGATTTATGTTCATTTATTTTTTCAGGTTTGATGAAAAGGAGAGTGTGTCCAATGTGCAGCAGCTGAAGTCGTCCGTGCAAAAGGGAATACGAAACAAGATAGTTGAGCTGCACCCACATATTGAGAATTATATTGATGGAATCCTGCCAAAGAAAGAACCCCTAAGAATTTTAAAATGGTAAACAATACAAACAATTCAGATCATTTTTAATTTATTTGAAGTCCTTTTTTCGCTCGCACCTTTGATATGATATTGTTGCAGCATAGCTATATCAGCTGTAATAATTAAACCTATTAAGAAAAGTTGTTTTTGTGTGGCTTTCATCATTTGGTGACTGAGCACTGAGCAGCATTGTATTTGTACACGGCATCAAGGAAAGATCCAATATTTGAATAGATATCACAAACCTCTAGCAAAACTTCTGACGACCTTCTCGTATTTTCTAGCCACGATCATATCGAGATCCTGATCAATAGCGGTGGAGAGCTGCTCTTCTTCCGGCAGCGGGACGGTCCCTGGATGCCGACACTCCGCCTCCTCCACCAGTGTAAGAACCGGACTTTCCGCAGTACAACTTAACCCTCGCCCGTAAACGGCGATCTGCCACCTTCGCCCATGCAGGGGGGGGGGGGGGTTGGTGCGACCCCCCCCCCCCTTGGCGTTTGAAAACGGAGCGTCGTAGAGCTTAGCGGAAAAGACCAACGGATTCCTCTCGCCGAGATCTCGCGATTGGTGGTATATTTTTTGGTCCTAGGTCAACATTTGACCTACTTTTGACCGGTCAAAGGTCAAATTTTCGGAAAAATAGACTTTTTCAACTTTCCGCGGCGGTTGCGGCAAAATGGTCGGAGATATCGACTTGAAACCTTCACTATCGTGTTCCTTGATCAATTCTCTATCGTTTGGTATGTATTTCGTTTCCCTAGCTCTAAAAATGGCGGGTTGGGAGCGCCGGAAGTCGGCAAGGTCACAGTCGGCGGCAGAAATTCGAAAAATCAAAATTTAAATTTTTGAAATCTGATTGTATTTTTGGATTTGGGAGGTCCATTTGCTCCCTATAGAAGCTAATATTGCTGCATATTCCCATTGAGGTGACAAGAATTAGCAAAATAGTGGTTCGGGCGCTTTTCAAAAATAGTACCGGACGCTGTTCCACTTGTGACGTCATAGCTCCGTGACCTGACCTGACCCGGTCAGGTTTCTTATACCATATAATAGCCAATACTTGCCCCAACATGCATGGGAAGTTTCATCACGATCCATCAACCGATGTCCGTACCACCGGCAGGAAACCTCGGGCGTTGGCACTCAGTTTGTGAAAATCCGGCCGGAGGCTGTTCCCTTTGTGACGTCATAACTCCGTGACCTGACATGACCCGGTCAAATTTTTTTTTATCAAAAGTTGCGCAAGGTTTGCCCCATAAGGTACCCAAAATTTGGCGGCGCTGCGCGCCGCCGTTTTTGCACTATTTCCGAAAAACCTCAGGGGGGGGGTTGCACCAACCCCCCCCCCCTACATGGGCGAGGGTTAATTAACGACGACGGCACCCTGACCATGAGCCACCAGTCGTTCCAGTCTGTGTGTCATTGTAAGAGCATAGCTACCAGTCCTTCTTCATGCTATACTGTAATTGAATGTGTTGAATGTTAGCTCTGATTCTATCTATGGTGATTAAGACGAGTCTGACCGCTGACGACTGTTTCTGTGCCGTGTGTCTGAGGTCCACCGGGTAGATTTCTGACGCCTTCCCGCCCGCCGCAGACCCGTTCCTGCTGCCGATGCTGCAGGTGGACAAGGGCGCCATCCGCTTCGTCCTGTCGGGCGCCAACATCATGTGCCCCGGACTGACGTCTCCCGGCGCCAGGATGACGACCGTCCCCGAGAAGACGCCCGTGGCCATCATGGCAGAGGGCAAGCAGCACGCGCTCGCCGTCGGACTCACAAAAATGTCCACCGACGACATGTAAGTACTATGCTATTTTGAATGACTAATAATATGCTTCGCCTTCATTATCAGATATATTCACATGAATTCTTTTTACATTGCTCGTGTATCATGCGATGATGCGACCTACGAGTATGTACATCTACACGGATGAAATGCATGCATTCCCATAAAAAACTATCAAAATTTAAAACTAGTTATGTGTGGCAAGAGATCCCTGCTTTCAATGCGCCAGGGGGCTGCACATATTATCGCTCACCAGGTGGGCCACTTATGCAAATGGTGCTATCGATCTGACGATCGACCTTTTAGGCATGCCTGAACGATGTTCATTGATCGAGTTCTTCTTGGTGGCGCTTCACATATGTTCTCCGGATGTTTGTTTCAGCTCGAGGATCAACAAAGGTATCGGCGTGGAGAACTGCCATTACCTTATAGACGGCCTCTGGAACATGAAGCCGGTCAAGTGACACTGAGGGGAGTGGTCGGACCGCCCGACCGGCCCTGCCGCCAGGACCGCCGCCGCGCCGTGAGATTCGCCGCGGCATCCGCCATTGCTGTGATTGAAATGAATAAATTTTGTTTCGTGCATTATCTATTTATGGTGATGATGGTCATGTACTCTCCCTACGCGAGCAGCAGTGTTGGTTGCGATTTTGTCTCGCATGACGTTAGTAATTTCGCCTATTTTCCTGTGTTTATAAATGCTCGACTTGTTTTTGTTTAGCAATCATCTTCTGTACCAAGTGTACAGATATGGTTATACTACGCCTCCAGCGGTTACGCTGTGTATGGAACAGTTAAGTTATGGGAGTTTCTTCGCGACTCACAAGGTCTTTGCAATCTCAGTCCTGGCCATGCTTCACTCGTTCGATGATTCGTACGCGTTAGATCGGTTATGTATATATAAATACTCCACTTCAGCGTGGATTGTCGCTGTCATACCTGATTTATGATTCACACATCGGTTTGCGAAGTACGAAACGCTAAATGATTTCAATAATAATTTACGGTCGAAACACTCGAAACAACGTAGGAGACAACTGCTGCCGTGGGCATGAATCTAACAACCCCCTCTCGCGACATCGGGGCTCGGGGTATTACAGCAGCTGAGTGCTGTGCTGTACAGGTGCTGCAGCTGAGTACAGATGCTATGAAAGTGATAATTGACACTGTAAACCTTACGAGATCATTTCAGTGCGCGACACGCTTCGTTCGCTACCGAGGGGGGCGGGGGCCCCAGAGCCCTGGCAGGTTGATGTAAGACGGGTATGTCCGTCGGGTGCGATATAGCCAGTGCCCGAGAGAAATTGTTCCTACTTGCTTAATTGGTATTAAGAAAAATGTCTGAGAGGTAGCAGACGACTCTATTTAACAAAAAATATTATTTTGAACACTATTTATATGCCTTTCTAATGCATTGCGAACGCTGCTTTTAATTTACCGGCAGCGTGCTATTTTTATTGTCACCTAACAATGCGCAGCGCGCTGCAAATGACTCAAAGCATTTATCATTGACTATCATTGACCTATCAGACGGCCAACTCCCGCGCCGCAATCGTTCCCGCATGGGGGCGCAGTGGCGCCACCTGCAAGTGGTCAGAAGTTCCCGGCCCCTGTAGACGGTCTATGTTAAGTGGGTTACTTTTGAAGCGGATTTTTATGAAAGATACAGCCTGCGGATGGCTGAAAAGGATTGCTATGTAATTGAACATGCTTTCTTAAGGTGTGATGTGCTCGATTGCTAACAGGATGGCTCGAGCCGTGCAATAAAGTGCATTGTTTAAAATGACCCGGACGCTGGCGGTACAAAGCATACCGAAACGTGGAGAGCCTACCTGCCGTAGGTAAGGCCATGCATGACCAGGAACGTACCCACTTCCTACTCAGGGTACTGAATCAGATTATCGCGAGGGTACTGAAAGTTTCGTCGCGATCGGCCGCTTTTTACGAGAGTTATTCGCGAACACTGAGGTGGGGTCCGTTTGACCCGATAAACCCCATTATATGAGGTTTATCGGGGGGGCTGATCACGAAAATCATGTTAGTTTTGAATACAGATGATGTCTTGATGCATTTATAAGGCCAGGTTGGGTCAGGTCAGGTCAGGTCAACCAGTAGGGGTCCTGCCGGGTAGGTAGTAGGTGTCAACCACCTCTAACAGCTTCGTCACATGTTACTAAGGCACCAAAACTTTTTCGTTAATGTTCAGATGGTTGTTAAATTCGAAGTTAGCTCCAAAAACAAGCCTAAAAACATGCAAAACTTGAAAAAGTGAACCAAGGTCATCAAAGGACGATGACCTGACATGACCTTACCTTTAAGTGACCTTGACACCCACCCTAATGCACGGGAGCAACATCATATCACATGTTTGAACGCTTGAAATCACGAAAAGACTGCTAACACGCGGTTAATGCCAGCCATGTGCCGAATTGCGATTCCGCGGCCAAACATGGCTCGGGGTTACATGAGCAGAGTTAATACGCATTACAAACGGACTACAATGGTGAGCGAATAGGAAAATCCATTCCTGATACGCATTTACTTGCTCATGTAACCCCGGTCCCAGCAAACATGCCCACATGGGTCCCATATGGGGTGAACATGGGCCAGATGGGCCCACGTGGGACATGGGCTACAGATGGGCTACCCATATGGGCCCCATATGGGATAAAAATGGGCCAGATGGGCCAAACGCATGTGGGCTGGAGATGGGCATCCCATGTGGGTCCCATATGGGGTGAACATGGGCCAGATGGGCCCACGTGGGACATGGGCTACAGATGGGCTACCCATATGGGTCCCATGTGGGCGCCGCGTGGGTTCCATTTGGGGCCTACGTGGGCTGGCCCATATGGGTCCCACGTGTCACCCACTGCCATTCCCATGTGGGACCCATATGGAAGAGGTGGGGGGCCCATGTGGGTCCCATATGGGAACCATGTGGGCATGTTTGCTGGGGTAATAGTCTTGAAAGTAGGTCACAGGTCAAAAGTCATTTGGGTCAGGGTCATGAAACTTTCAGGGTAGGTGTATAATTGATTATCGCGAGGGTACTGAAAGTTTCGTCGCGATCGGCCGCTTTTTACGAGAGTTATTCGCGAACACTGAGGTGGGGTCCGTTTGACCCCACCTATGCGGGCGAGGGTTAACCCTCGCCCGAATAGGGCGGGGGTCGAACGGACCCCTCCCCCTTCGTTTGCTAATTTATCATCTTTTGCCACCTGAGTAGGAAGCGGGTACGTTCCTGGTCATGCATGGCCTTACCTACGGCAGGCAGGCTCTCCACGTTTCGGTATGCTTTGTACCGCCAGCGTCCGGGTCATTTGAAACAATACACTTTATTGCACGGCTCGAGCCATCCTCTTCGCAATCGAGTACATCACACCTTAAGAAAGCATGTTCAGTTACATAGCAATCCTTTTCAGCTATCCGCAGGCTGTATCTTTCTTAAAAATCAGCTTCAAAAGTTACCCACTTAACATAGACCGTCTACAGGGGCCGGGAACTTCTGACCACTTGCAGGTGGCGCCACTGCGCCCCCATGCGGGAACGATTCCGCGCCGGCCGCGGCGCGGCAGTGGGCCGTCTAGGTTACTATAGAGGTCAATGGCATTTATCGTGAACTTCAGAGTGAGAGCAAGGAGTGCCGCCGGCACAATCACACAATATTATTTATATTTTTTAAGGTTTTGAACTTGACCAACTTCAAGTTCTGGGCTGTCAAGCATTTCTCCGTTGAATCACGGCTCGGTTCATTGCTGGTTCGGGACACTGAATTCCAGTTTTGTGTCTGAAAAGTGGTGTTAAAATGACCGACTATGATGAGCCAATATCAGACCAGGAAAAGGTATGATTTTAAATCAAAATACCCAGAGTTTAAGCAGGGGTTTCCAATGTATTCAACATGTTGTTTTGATTAATTTAAACATGAACTGTGGATGTTGATAGGATCTTGTGTGTGTCATGTATCTAATATCTGGAACCCCCAGAACTTAGGACATTGATGTTAAAGAGCTACATTTTGAATGCCATAAGACCTTAAACTCAAACTAAATTGGTCATGCTCACAAATAAATGATTCATATAAGTCTGTTTGTGACTATGTTAGTGTCTGTGCCATTAATTTTTTGTGGTTCAGCTCGAATCAAAATGAATTTATTCCTTGCAGGTGCGGATTGTTTCCGACTTCATTCTTCACTCACCGCCTGGGGAGTTCAATGAAGTTTTCAATGGTGAGTTTTAAGTACCAAAAGTTTAGGATGCTGTCTGGTGCATCAAATTTGCATATTGTGGATCTCCAAGATACGAGTCAATGACCTTGACCCTGAATACAGCTGGAGGAGGTTGGTGGTGAGAGGCTGCTACTTGGCAAAGATGGCAGTTACTGGGTGCAAGTGTGTGTTTAGGTAGATGTGTGTGATTGGGTGTGATTCTGAAGAATTGTGGTCACACCCTTAAAGGGACAGTATCACCATTTTGATGAAATTTGACATTGCATAGGCCCCACCTTTCTGGTCCGGGAACTGAAGACCGATCCTCGAAGCTCCGCACCGTTATCCCGCTATCGCCGCTCAAAGTACGAAAGGTGTACCACACTTTGAATCGTGCTTCACTATCTTCACTGTTTAAATGTTTGCGCCGTTTTGAATTGACCGCCAGTAATAAAACTTTTACCCTGGTCATTTCATCAAATTTTATAAAGCCAAAACGTTTTTTCGCACTTATTCATCACCGTTAAATTCATTAAATAGTCGTAGGCAATTTCCGCTGTTTCCTTCGAATTCTAGCGGCTCAACAAAGGAATTCCTCCAGCTTGAATCACAATCTCCCTCCAATGTATGACGTTTATCACGTGATTGTCACGTGATATTTTCTCCCATTGTCAATTGTCACGTCCAATTGTCACTCTCTCCAATTGTCACGTTATATTTTTATAGGCAATACCTAAGGCTACCTCTCCCTAAGGACAACTCAATCAGAAGAACGACCGCGTAAGCGTAGCGTCAATAATGTATTATCTGCGCCAGTTCTGTAGTAATTTTGCATGCTTCCAAACTGGCGGCCATGCTTGTATAGTGGTGGTTCGCTCATGAAAATGAATCATGAAAATGAAATGTGGTTGCAATATTTTTCACCGAGTTCGGTCCTCAAACTATGTTTTCCTGATTCAGAAAAATAAGAAATGCTAGTAAAAAAAAAAATCAGCTCCATACATGGATTTTTTTTTCGATGATACTGTCCCTTTAACACTGATGGCTTGTATGCCTCCCCCCCCCCCCCCCAAGGGTAACTAGGGTGCTCCAACAGGGCTTTGAGTGTCAGAGGGATGCTGCAGAGCTTGAGCTGCTGCAGTCATAGCCAATTTTGAGGCTGCAGGTTTTGAGTTGGTGGGGCCTGTCCAACTGTGGTGGTTGCAGAAGTGTTAATTTGTGTATCTGTTCACTGTGCTGCCACACTAATGTGCCAGCAGTCTGACTCTGGGTCTTCCTTAGTTTATTCATTGCTTTGCTCATAATCATTCCACAGTTACACTGCCATCCACTGTAAATGTGTTCTTTTCCATGCAGTCTGTGTTGGAGATGTTCTTTCCATTGCATGACAGCAGCAGCTGCTCTGGCACCTTTTTTCTGCACTTCTAGTGTTCCTAGGGTTGTCCCTTTCATCAGAAGCCATGAACACTGGGCATGGCTGTGGCAGACTCAGAAGCTAGTTTCGGTGTGACATCGGGCTTCGGTAGGGATGTCGGCTTTTTGGGATGGCTCATGTGCTTGTGTGAATATGCTCATACATCCAAACGATTCATCATTCGTTCCTCAGTTTACGGCCACCGTGGCATAGTATTGTCATCGCTGAGCTGCTGTTGAGCTGATCGGTTGGAATGAAAACCATAATAAGAAAAAGACGGTGGCTGGCCGGAGTTTGCCTGCCTCAAGACAAAATTAAGAGTTTGTCTTATTTACCAGACCGAGATAGTGTGAGGCCGAGATACGAAACCGAGATTATCAGCCGCGCATCAGTCTGTGACCTGGCCCAAGATTACTTTACTACTCCTGACCTGGACCTGGCCGACGACCGAAAATGTTGGTACCTAATAGATGCTAGTGCTTCTTTCCAATTCTAATGTTGACTTGGTGCGTTTCAGATGTGAGGCACCTGATCAACAATGACAACTTACTGAAGGAGGGAGCTTCAGGGTGAGTAATGCATATCCTACTTTTTATGCCACAGCCCGTCGGCTTTGCATCGTACTTTGTTGTTGCAAATAATAATGCTCATGGGTTTTCTTCTTTGGCCCTTGGCCTTGTGATTCGTGTCCGATGATAATTTTGTTATTTGCGTCCCACAGGGCATTCGTTCAGTACAACAAGGATCAGCTGACGCCAGTGCGTCTGCCGGGATCCGACTACCCCGCCTTCATCACCGACTTCAACGATCTGGGCGGGTCCCGCTTCTTCGACCCGCGCACCAAACAGAGTTTCCGCTTCGACCACCTCAAGAAGGAGGCGTCCGACCTCAAGGTAAGGCTCCTGAAGCCTTTTACTGCATTATAAGCAGGATAAGAACAATATATTCGGGCACCACTATTTCGTTGTCCGACCTCCACTGTATCTGTATTACCAGCTGTCATCCCGAGCTATTGGCGCAAATGGCCCCCGCGTTAACCCTATTCCTGGCGGGCTCCGCCGGGACAAGAAACTGGCGGGGGGGGCCGATTCGGCCCCCCCCTGAGATCTCGAGAACGAAGCAAGATAGCGACAAGCGGCAAACGGCATCGGATACGCACGGCTAAGATCTACAATTTTTACAAAGGTCATTTTCAGGTCAGGTCAAAGATGACGTCACAGGGGTCGAAAAAGCCAAAATGGCGGCGCTAGATATGGAGAGAGTTTTTCTCGAATAACTTTCGAATTAGTCAAGATAGGAACAAACTAAGGGCATCATCGTGATCCTCTCGTCAATCCGCATCGAATGATATATATGTTGACCTCGAAAGGTCAAGGTCAAAGGTTGACCTCAGGTCACGTGACCTCGAGGTCATCATGTATATCATTCGATGCGTCTTGACGAGCTGAACACAATGAGACCATCCACGCGTCTGTATCTTGTTCCTGTACGGAGTTATTGGCCAAAAACCTTTGGTGACCTTTGATGACGTCACATGACCTCACAGCTGCCCAACAGCAAAACAGACCTCAAGGTAGTGAAGGTTGATCGTATATGAAGTCATGTATGGTATATGGGGCCATTCCGACCCGTTTTAGTGGTAAAAACAGGGAGTTGATTTTTCCCCCATTGACTTATAATGGGGAGGTCGCGAAACTGACCTGACCTTAGGTCACCGATATCAAAATTCCGAGATATACAAATTGCACATACTGGTACCCTAACTAAAGCCTGAAGAGAAGAAGTTGATCGGTCAAAAACTCTAGCTCTGGCGTGATTGCAAACTTTTCTGAGGTAGGGTCACCAAACCGCCTCTGGTGACCTGACCTGAGGTCAGATCAACTCAAAATTTTCAGACATGTTGCGTAGAAGCCTTTTAGGAAAAGTCAGAAAATTTGAGCTTCCTAGCTCAACGCGTTTGGGAGAAATAACCAAAAAACCTCAGGGGGGGGGGCTCCTGAGGCCCCCCCCCCCGCCAGGAATAGGGTTAAAGCGCCCTTAAGCCTCAAATCAATGATAAACTGACTCAAGTCGTCATACCCTTGTTTACCAACTGTCTTCACATCGTGGTCGGTCTTTGTGACGTGTCGTCCTCCTCTGGCAGCCGCACGAGGGTGACAGCACGGCCGAACCGTGGCGACGCGCCCTCGAGGCCGAGATGACCGCCTACACGGCCGACCACTACAAGAACGGCGCGTGCGCCGTGTTCGGACACTCGAATGACGGAGACGTCACCCTGGTCGCCTGCATCGAGGACCACCAGTTCCAGCCCAAGAACTTCTGGTCAGTTCGCTCGCCGAGGGTCGTACTTCTTTCCTTCTGTATTTTATCGGGTAACGACGAACTTAGGTGTGTATTTCCACGAATTATTTTGTCATATGAAGCGATACCTGCGCCTGTATTAACACCAAGTAATGTTTAACTCAAACTTACTCAACTCTGATTGTTTTCCGAATATAGTGTCTGACATTATGGTCCTTGCCAGTGATAAGGTGGGATGGTTCCTGTAAGCACGGAGTGTCGTTAGCACTGTTTCGACCCGATCTCCTGATGCAGCTGAAGTGGCTGCTTCACGGTCTTGCCGTCGTATGCTGATGTTATGCCTCGCTGTTGAAGTGTCGCCTGTATGGTGCATTACGCCACGGTTTAGGTTACGGGGTCGTCTGTAGACGCCATGCTCCGATGCTGAAGTGTTGACGCGACGCCGTGTCCGGCACCGTGCAGGAACGGCCGCTGGCGGTCGCAGTGGACGGTGACGATACCGTCGAGCGGCACGGCCCAGCTCAAGGGCGTGCTCAAGGTCCAGGTGCACTACTACGAGGACGGCAACGTGCAGCTGGTCTCCTCCAAGGACGCCGCCGACGGCGCCGTCGTCGCGGTCAGTTACACGGGGATATTGTGTTTGTGGGGTAGTTATCACTTATCGGTTAGCTGATCCTAGTGAATCAGCAAGTGGAGCTGAGGCATCGTAAGTTTATGTGCAAGTTTTTTTTTATTAAATTATACGTTTTTTTCTCTTTTGCCAGCCTGGATCACAAGGGAAAATGATCTTCATTGATCGTATTTGCTATATCCCACTTCTTAATTTGCGAAACGGTTTTGTACTTTTGAAATCGTTTCAAGCACAATTAGGTACCTATAGAGCATACATATTTTTACTTTACAGGGTGTCTCAAAAGTTCGTTCACAGGTACCAGCCATGCTTTTTTGTCAATAATTCTGAATCAACAAGAAATTAACAGTCGAAATTTTGCATGGGCATTGGTGACAACCTTCCTCAAGCAGTCTCATTGTTTTCAAGTGCATTCGACCCTTCATGAGCTCACAAAAAGGGTTCACCTCTGACCATGGGTCAGGCACGAAAATGTAGGTTGCAAAGTCGGGTATGTTGTGAAACTCTCTGTTTCAGAAGTAATGGGAATCGTTAAGTCGGAAATGACACATGGCTAAGTGTCGGCGAGGATGAGTGCAACATGATGATCATCTCATAAAAACGGTGGCTAAAATTTTTGAAGGACGAAACCATGCGAGACTAACGGCGTTTTGAACGACCCTCGCACGACAGCAGACTCGTGTTCCGGAAAGCAGCTGAAAATGCGGTCATAAGTATTGAAAACTGGCAAGAAGGTCACAGACAGAGGTTACCTATTTTCAAAAAGTGCAGGTCATCGTAAAATAAAGACAAACTATAATTTAAAATTGTTTATAATATCTATAACGCTAATTTTTGGGGACAATAACACAAAAATCGTCAATACCAAGGACACCTGACCCTCCAAAAGTGTCAGTTATTGTAAAATTTTATGTCACGAAGTTTCAAGAGGCAGATCTGCAGCGAATAATTTTCTTTTAAACACAAAATCCCGATAAAACCACACGATGGACAGGTTTGGGCCGTTTACAAAGCAGAACATCTCCCGAGGAAAACACTCCGCAACCGAGCGAAGGTCTTGGCATGGGGAATGACGAGCGCTTGGAATTTGCAAAATTTGCACAATGTGTCTGAGAAACAGACGTCCGACACATTCTGCTACCATATGATGCGAAAAATTTACTCCTGGTACTTCCCGTTTGTTCAGGACTGGGGTCGTTTTGAAAAGGAAAATGGCGCTTGGGATGTCGGCGCCAGTCATTCATGAAGGAGTTAGCGCCAGAGAATGCCTACAAAATACTCAAGAATGGTGTCGATGCAAGCTGTCGGCTTTCAGGGAAAATCAGATGTTGCCGGGGAGCTAGTCAAAACTAAATCCGACGCAGAAACTGCAGGGGATTCCCCTGCAAGAGCTTGAAAGCTGGTAACCTTTTATCAGCCTCCGGCAGCTGACGGAGCAACAAAAATCGGTATGGGCAAATATTTTTGGAGATACAGCAAAGGGGTTGGTTTCCAACCTTCTTAATCAGTTGTCAAAGCATGCATATTTGTCTAGTGTACACACAGACACCAAAACCTTATACTTTTGGCCGGTTCTTATATGCTTTATTGGCATGGGAAATGTGTGAACGAACTTTTGAGACACCCTGTATTTGAGAGCATTTGATGAGCACGAAGAACACCGAAACTTTCTTTCGCTTTTCTTCTCCAAGATTGTTATGAATAAGAAGTTCGGCCCTTCGTTTCACGTTAACTCTGATCAGCGCTCATCTGCTGTCTCCTGTATCCCCAGTCGGAGTCGCAGACGGCCAAAGAGGTGGTACGCCTGATCGAAACCTCTGAGAACGACTACCAGACTGCTATCTGTGAAAACTACCAGACCATGTCAGAGACCACATTCAAGGTAGGTCCACTTCCAGTCATGCCTGGCCCTCGCAGCTGTGGCTATCGCATGTGTAAACACATATAAACCTTACGGACTTTTGCCCATGCGGTGAACGCAGGAATCCTCCCGCTTCCTGAGTGGCGAGCGTTGTATCCAAGGCCATCTATAGAAGGTACAGTCACTCTCCCGCCAACCAATCAGAGACAGATCCTGAGTGACGTCACCCCTGATGCTCGTAAGTCCATTCCTTAACAACGTAAAATTGACTAAATTCATCTGAAGATTGTTGGTGACACTCTACACATATTGCTCAACCGTTGATGTCATTGCAAAGTCCAACTAATTTTCTAGCGATAAAAAAGAGCAGCAATATGCTAAGAAATGGCCGGTTTTGAAGATATAGACGATTTAAAAATCCTCTGCAGTTGCAGGAAAGCAACGTAAAAACACATCGAGCTTATATTTTTACTATGAATGAATCATTTTTCAGTAAGTTTTTAGATATGGTATCGATTTAATCAATAACTTTATTAAAATATTTTTATTACTTGTAGCTTTATTTCAAAATAATATTTTCAAAAATGGCAACTATTGGCAAGTAGCTTTGAAGCGATTGTGGCGCACCGCGCCATTATTGTCCTGAGGCCCCCTTATGATGTCATCAAAAGTGGAGTGACATGGGCCTGCTATAGAGTTGTATCAAACTGCCAACTGGTTTTATATTTAGTCTTTCTTGCATTTTTTATTCCGCGTGTCAGTATAGCCAATTATCTATTTTATTGTACACTCATCATATGATTGATTTTAAAGTGTTTCTTATTCTGGCCTTTGCTGTTGAAAATGGGATCAGATTCAGGATGGCCTGCCCGATGTTATATCGTTACTACCTACCTTATGTTGTTCTTGCCCATACTTCGTTGCTGCTTTTGTCTTTGCATATTCTGCTGTGATCCTATAGCTGTGATCCTATACCGGTACGTGAGTGGTGTAACGTGCACCATTGGCGACCTGTCTGATGACGCCGCCTCCGCCGCCAGGCACTGAGACGCCAGCTGCCGGTGACGCGCTGCAAGATCGACTGGGGCAAGATAATCCAGTACGGCATCGGCCGCGAGCTCAAGCAGCAGTGAGCTGTGCGCGCGGCCCACCTGTGATACGGCGGCGCGGTGCCGCCGCCGCCGCCGCCGCCGCCGGCCGCTCTCTCACCGCTGACAATGTGTAACCAAAGCTTTTGTGGTCGCGGCGCCGCCGCCTGCCGGAACGGAGCGGCCGGCGTGCCAGCGATGCCCAGCTCGCGGCCGGTCGGCCGCCGCCGGAGCGCGTGTCATGCGGTAGTTACGCCGCCGATGAGAATGATAAACACGACACCCAGCTGCCGCTTGGTTAGCCAACAGCACGGCTTGCGTTTGAACCGCCCTGCGATGCGTGACTTTGGCAAAACCCTTTTGAATATGTGCTTACACCTTGTAGATAGCTGAAGCTATCGAGCTGTTTAATGATATGATCATCGATTCATTCTAAGAACAATGATATATTCCTAAGGATTGGTATAGGGTGGATTCGATTGTCTGCTTAAATTGTTATCGATGGGTGTTTCTATATAAATGAAATTTTGCCTTCTGTTGTCATTTAATCATGCAGTTAGTTGCGGTTTCCACTAGTTCAGCTGTATAAGAGATCTATGTCCTATGAGATCTAAGAGATCTATGTTGTATTACTACTAATGAACTGATGACATAGATGCCTTCTTAACAGCTTCTTGAAATGTACTGCTTCGGGACGAAAAAGTGTGAACTAAAACTTGTCAAATCTTGACACATTTATGTATTGGAAAAGGCCTGGCTATCAAGCACTGTCCGGAAGTTGAAAATCTAATCGATAATATTGGAGGAGTGGGCAAGAACAGCTCATAATGAGGCTTTTATTTGCCATCCAAAGTTGAAGCATTTTTCACTAGCTCGAAATGCTCTGTGAGAAATGTACGATAATGCAAAACTGCGCAATCCGTGCAATTCATCTGAGGATGTAGTATGGCCAAGCCTCGCCGCCAGGTATCAGCCGAAATGTTAGCTGACAACAGTTACAGTTTGATACACCGGGACTGACGACGTGTCTTGTTTAGCGGCGAGCACGAGCAGGTGGATCCGCTGAATGGGTCACACTGCGATGGTTGAGTACTCTGTAGAGGATGTCTCGTAGAGAGTGCCACAGCAGGTATATAGGGCCTTGCACAGCAGCCATCGAGCCGAAGAGAGACGGAATGTGCCGCGGTCCTTTCAGTCTCTTGGGCGACCCGTGTTCGCTGAACTGAGTGGCCGACTGAACTATCAACAATGTATTCCATTCTTTACCGAATGAATCAAAACAGTCTGCAATCAATTTTCGGACGCAGGAAGCGGTCTGTAGGCTGTAGGACGCTCATTGAGCTCAAATTAGTTCGTAGACCATGCGGCCGCGGCCCGGGGGTGAGAACCATAGCCCTCCATCCAGGGTAACTGTAAAGTAAAAGCGTATCAGAACGAGACTTGCACATGGAATTGACGATTGATATGTGACGTCCAAAAGATTGTTAAAGATTGTCCTGTGACTGGTACAAAGCGCACTTAGAGCTACCCAAAAGCTACCTTATAAAAGCAATATTTGTTTTAGTGGTCTCTACCTCCGACAAAGGCAAGTTCTTGTATCAACTGCGCCAGCATTGTCGAAAGGCTTGTCAACTGGCGAAGCGTCGCGGTGCCGTTGCGGGGTCGCTGTGCCGTTTTTTTTATAATATTTTTACGGATAGCTCGTGAATGGCTGGAAAACACTTTTGAAAACATCAGGACTGAAGTGACAAAAGTTGACTTTTAATCGGTAAAAGATGTCCGTCGAACTCAGTGCTTATCGAGATCAGCACTTCAAGGGGTCGAGGGCTGAGCAAGAACGTATGCTGAGGATCTCTACTACTCTGTACATTGGAAATATGTCCTTCTACACTACAGAAGAACAGATCCATGAGCTTTTCTCCATGTGTGGAGATGTAAAGAAAATCATTATGGGCCTTGACAAATTCAAGAAGACACCCTGCGGATTTTGCTTCGTTGAATACTACAGACGCCAAGATCTTGACAACGCCATGAGATTTATCAATGGCACGAGGCTCGATGATCGTGTCATTCGAACAGACCTGGATGCTGGATTTGTGGAAGGAAGACAGTATGGCAGAGGAAAGTCTGGTGGACAGGTCCGTGATGAATACCGTGCTGATTACGATGTGGGGCGGGGTGGATATGGAAAAATCATTCAGCAGAAGACTGGCATTGAGCCCACTGACATCTGAAGATGCTGAAAGGCATCAGGGTTCAGTTGAAACAGAGGAAAAGATTCATCCAGAAGTGTCCATCATTATTCATCATTTGAAATTCAACAAATTCTTTGGGATGCTCTCCTGTATCTCATGCTAGTTGAGTTTGTTGTGCTTCCTGAGAAGTATTGGAAGCACACTGAGTGTACCATTTCACCTTGTGTCAATACATGTAACAATGTTCATCCCAGCTTTTGTTTATTGTTATATTCCAGCTGAATATATGGCCTTGTTCCAGCCACAGCAAAGGTTGCCAGGGACAAATAAACCATCAGTCTCAGAGACTAAGCAGATTGAGTCTCTTTCACACTACAGAGCATTTAAAAACCCTCTCAAACATCGGTTCATAGGTAAACATGACACACTGAATCGGAAAAAAATGCACCCTTTTTTAATTTTTTTTTTTATAAATTTAGCTCGAATGTTTGAATGGACGGATTGACAGAGCCGGAGCCCACGCTAAGCAGAGCTTGTTGCGTAGACCCCGACCCCTACCGTCCGATCGCGCAATTCCGGGTACCGGGAGAATTTAGATGCCAAAGTTTAACGTGCCCTTCAAAGCCGGACACGGCCTGCCCCACTCAACTGACTTCAACTGGCTGCGGCTGCTCCCACCAACCGCAGACCATCCCCGTCATGAGTCTCAAATATCGAGCGCCGGGGCGTCTCGAACCCGGGCTCTCACTACCGGGAGTCCAATGCTCTACCAACTGAGCTACGGGACAGGCTGTGACCCTTTGTATGCCCCTGAGGTCATCTCAGGTCATGAATGGCCACCAGCAGTTTTTTTGCTATAACTTTTGATAAAGACGTGCTAGAAATAAAAATATGTCAGATGTATTCAGCTCAATGATACGGATCGACTGATAGCAATATGACCCTCTCCGGTCAGGTCATGAGCTTGACCTGTGGTCAAATTTTCAAAATGACCTTTCAAGTTCAACAAATACAAATAGTTCATTCGACGCGTCTCGACGAGAGAAACACGATGCTGCCAAAAGTAATTTCGTGGCTCTCTTGAGTCAAAAGTTATTGACGAAAGAAAATTTTCGTGAAAACTGCTATTTTTACAGTTTTTGCCCTCGGGAGGCTAAACCGTTGACCTGAGGTCAAATCGAGTACAATATTCAGAAAGGTCTGTAAAAGGGCCATCAAATGCGCTTTTCCGCGGCGCTGTAGCTCTATTGGTTCGTGAGTTAGCCGTTGGCAGTTTCCAAAGTTGTTGAAATGGACTTCACACACACACACACACAAAACGTTTATTAAGGAACAAAAGATACACGAGAAATAAAGCATGATCAATGAAACATATGGCACAATGTAGCAACATAAAAGTGATAGCAGAGTGGTGCAAAAGCGCAATCGCTTAACTCGAGGCACCACTCTGAAACAAAAATAAAACATGTGAAACAACCGCCGCCGCCGCTGACCAGTCGCTCATGAGCGGTAAATTTTGGTGTTCCATCAGCCGCTCAGCCCTCGGGATTGCAAATTTTGAAAACTTTGAATGAATTTATTTGTTACTACGAAAATCTATTTGTTTTTGTCAAAAACTTTTGAAAGGCGTAAGCCATTTCTCGACTGCCCTCGCCTCTCAAGCGATCTCCGTGGATAAGAATGTTCAATTTTTGGTCGGGTGAGTAATTTGCAAAATTTTCTCCCAGTATACGAGAAGCGTTATCAAATAGTGTTTTCCTTTGGGCATCATAATTTCGACAGAATATTACGTAGTGGCGGACATCTTCCTTGAAGTGGCCGCAAGAACATTCAGGCGAATCTGCTTTGTTGATTTGAAAACGATGAGTATTTAGACAAGACATTTCAGTTCTTAGTCGGGTATGCAAAATATTTCCAGTTTTTGAGCCAAGGACATCTATAGTCTGGGGGTTTGGGCATCCCTAGTCGCTGGTTAATTTCTTTTTTGAAGGATGTATGTGGCAAGGATCTTAATGATTCTGGGAGGTGGTTCCATAGTTTGGCAGTTGAAAGGAAAAACGATGACTGATGGATGTGGTGCGATGTGGTTGGAGTGTATGGTTCCTGTGATTTCGCAGGGTCCTTCCTGTTCTTTGTGAGCGGGTGTCCGGTATGATTGATTTGATGTAGTTGGGAGTTTTTTGCATGTGGCTATTGAGTGTATGATATAGTGTTATTTTGTGCATCTCTCTTCTTGTTTTTAACTTGTTCCATCCTAGGTCTTTTAACAATTTGTCAGTTGGTGTTCTAAATAAAGTGCCAGTCACAAGCCGAGCCGCTCTGTTTTGTAAAACTTCAAGTCTCTGTGTGTCCTGGAGCGTAATATGTCCGTCATAAACTGTGTCGTAAAAGTCAAAATGTGGTCTCGTGTATGTTTTGTAAATTTGATCTAAAATTTCTCGGGGGATGTATGGAGCAATGGAGTACAATGGGCTCATGGTTCTGTTTACCTTTTTGCAAATTTCGTTAATGTGCTGATGAAACCGCAAGTCCTTTGAAAATGTCATTCCCAGATGAGCGTGGTTTTCGTGAATGGGTATTATGTCGTCCCCAAATGTAAGAGCAGGTGGTGTGTTTTGTGGGCTGCGTGAAAATGTCTGTTGTATTGTTTTGCTTACGTTAAAAGTAATCGCCCATTCTTTACCGTATTTTTGTATTTCATTGAGATCATTTTGTAATGACGTCTGTGTTGTGTTCAAATTTTGTTTTGTATGGGATGCATATAGCGATACGTCGTCTGCGAAAAATAAAATGTCGTTTTGTGTTCTAGTAGAGAGGTTATCGAGGTAAATGAGGGCTAAAAGAGGACCCAAAACCGAACCCTGTGGGCATCCGGCGTTGATAATTTCTGTTTTTGAAAAGGTATCGCCGATCTGAACTCTCTGTCGTCTATCAGACAAGTAAGATTTTAGCCAGTCGTAAAGTGAGTCAGTGATGCCAAATTCATGTCTACATTTGTACAAAAGTCCCTCGTGCCAAATTTTGTCAAAGTATTTTGAAATGTCCAGGTAAATAGCAGTAAAATCGCTTTCTGAGTCCAATGCTTTGTATAAATTATGTGTCAAGTATAATAGTTGTTGTTCTGCGCTATGGCCTCGCCGATACCCACTCTGTTTATCTGTCAAGAGGTTATGGTGGGAAAGATGTGCATATATGTGTTTGTGGACTATTTTTTCAAAAACTTTGGACAACGAAGAAAGAAGACTTATGGGGCGGTAGTTTGTGGGCTCAGATGGGCATAGGTGGGCACGATCCGTTCCTCCGTTCCTCCGTTCCGGAACGCCGTTACAATTTTTAGGAACGGAGGAACGGACTCGTTACATTTTAAAAAGGGTAACGGACCAAGTAACTTCCGTTACATTGGTTGTTCGTTCCTCCGTTACAAGTTCACAGTTTAGTCCGTTCCTTCGTTCCTCCGTTACTTTTCGTTGTCCGAGCGGGTTGATCTTTCAGCTAACCCACAGACATTAATGCAGCAGCGGAATAGTGGATTATTGAGCAGCCCTGACTTGAAGACGGAAGATGGCCTCAGTGTACAGTGTACTGGCCTTCCGCAATGAGCCGGCGTTGCAGTATGTGTTCGCAAAGTTCAACACGGGCGTCCCTTCAAGCGCCTCAGTAGAGCGCATCTTCTCAATGGGAAAAGATGTGCTACGTGCAAAAAGGGCTACCCTCTCAGAAAGTGGCAGCGGAACATCTTCAATTAAGGGAGGGGGGGGAAGCACTGCCGACTTTTTGTCCCATTCTTTCCATGCAACGCACATAGGGCTAATGTTAAAATGCCAAAATCAAAGGGGGCACGGTGCGCCGGTGCCCCCCCCCCCGTTCCGCCGCCTATGCTCTCAGATGCCAACCTGGAACGTCTAGTGTTCGTGAAGTGCAACCGGCATCTGGCCGGGGACAAGTGATGCGCATCAGTACCACCAGACGTTCCAAGGTTTAGTGTCCAATCAGTGCCCACTGTCTTGGTAGATTTGGTGGGCATTCCGCTTTCTCGGTAGGTTTAGTTTGTGTCAGAATGGTCTCAAAAATGTTTGAAATACCCAACATTTTAACGTTTTTATTTTGCTGTAACGGAGTAACGGACTAAAAGAACTTCCGTTACATTATATACAGAGGAACGGAGGAACGAGTAACGGAAGTCACGTTTTGAGGGAACGGAGGAACGAGTAACGAAGTTACAATTTTGGGGAACGGTGCCCACCTATGCAGATGGGGAGCCTTTGTTTTTAAATATTGGTTTGATGTTGGCCTCTTTGAATTTGGAAGGGTAAATGCCTAGCGCTAGTGATTTGTTGAATAGTTTCGACAAAGGGGATGCAATTAAGATGGCAGTTAATTTTAAAAGTTTCACAGGGATGTTGTCTGGGCCGGTAGATTTGTTGGCGTCTAGGGAATTTAGAATTTGAAGAACTTCTCTTTCAGATGTGGTAATTTTGTCCAGAGTGGGTACCGGCGAAGTGTGTGTTCTTCGAATAGCTGTCTGTAAGAGTGTCCCACTTTTGTCAGTTTTGGTTTGTCCGGCGAAAAATTCGTTTAGGAGGGTAGCCTTTGTGTAATTGTCAGTAAGTATTTCTCCGTCTTTTCCTTCAAATGGTGGGATGGTATCAGTCTTTTTGCGTCCTGTTATTTCGCGTAACGTCTGGTGATATTTGTAAGGGTCTCGTCTATGAGTTAAAAGCTTACGGACCTGTTTCTCTATATGTTGTCTCTTTAATTCCCTATTTAATGACGTCACTACGTTCCTTTGGTATTTCCAGCGATTCCAGTCGTAATTAGTGTTTGATCGTTTTGCTAGTTTGAAAAGTCTGTCGCGTTTTCTTATGCTTTTGTTAAAGGGATTATCAGGGTTTAAAAATTGAAAGGAATCGGCATAAATTTCCAATCAATGAACTCCCCAGACTCTGCCGATTCTAAAGATATGCATAAAAAGTAAATCGGTACCAAAATTTGCGAGATATAGCCGTTTCAAAATTGACAAAATTGTACTTACTCACGCAAAACAAGTACTTGGGCGGCCAAGTTGGCCCATCGCTAAAATGTAAACAAAGAGCAGCCTTGGGAAATTTCGCCAAGGCCGCCGCACCGCACTGGCGATTTCCACAAGACTGTTTTGTTTTTGTCTGTTGTTTTTAGGGCCTTGCAACAAGATTTCAGTGCTTGGCATTGGATTTGGATATGAACAAATTGAAGATTTGCTTTTCAATAA